ATGCTTACATATATGTCGACATATATGTCGACATATATGTAAGCATACACTGAAAAAAAAATTTCTAAGCTTGAGAATTTTTTTACTCAAATCAAAAAAGTTAAATTTTTCAAAATTATTTTCTTGATTCAAGTTACATTTTTTTCTGTGTATCTCTAGACACTTATATGCGCACATATATCTGAACATATATGCATGCATATATGTGAACATATATCTACGCATATATGTGAACATATATGCAGACATATATTTAGCGCAAAAAAAATATATGTGAAAATATATATTTGCATATATTTTTCGCATATATATTTTTCCATGCGGGTAATGTCGGGATGAGCTTATATCTTAAAAAATGTCAATATTTCACAAGATAAAAGGTAATTTCTTAATTATGTATCTAGAAATAGAGCATTTTCGAATGCAGCTGAGTTGAGTGAAAGAAATGAGGGAAAGAAAATCCCTGAAATATTTGAAATTTAAATTTTCTTCAATAATTTACAATAAATTTTCTTCTTTTCTACTTTAATTGATAAATTACCAATACATTATTTTTTTTTTTCAATTTAATAAATATCGAGTTCCGAAATTTTGGATTTTCCAAACTTATAATTTATAATTTGCAATTTATATAGAGAAGGTTTGAAAAGTTACAGGATATTTTTTTGTAGGCGTGACAGAGTCAATGAAACGTAGCGCTTAAATTAAATAAATACGTGGGATATATAATAGTAATTGCGAGGCAAAATGTAAATAAAAAAAAAAAAATAGTATTCAAACCTCTGCACCAGGCGCTCCTCTTCCCGTGACATCAAGGAGGGCATAACCCTCTGCCAGCGGACTAGAAGTTACTTCCGTGAGTGTTGCCGAAGTTTGGGCGTGGAACCTAGCTAGTTGTGGAGAGTGTGGAGGATGTTCGGTCGTTGCCAATTGAATCTCCAGCTGATCTAATTTTGTAAATGCCTAAAAACAATAATGACAATAATAATAGAAATTAACATATTCATTGATTTTTAAAGTAAAATAAAATGACTTACTCTAATATGAAGGTCGAGTGGTTCTTTAATGGAAAACCGCTTCCTCATAAGAACAGGTTCCAGCCGATTTATGACTTTGGGTATGTCGCTATGAACTTCGGGTGGGTTTATCCTGAAGACAGTGGAGAGTATCTTTGCAGGGCGACTAATTTGTATGGCATGGATGAAACTAAGGCGGTTATTAAGACTTCTGGAAAGCCGGGGATTGTTTATGAATCGCAGTTGCCGAAGGGGATGAAGAGTATTGAGATGATTAGGGAAATGGAAGCTGCTTGGCAAGTGTAAGTGCAATTTTTAATTTTTTAGTTAGAGAAGAAATTATTTTTTAAAAATTAGAAATTTTTGGAAAATTATTAAAAGTTTTAGAAATTATATCAATTAGATTTTTGGAAATTATTGTTCAAATTTATAAATATATAAAAAGGCATTGTTTGTTTGGAATATATTTGAAATTTTTGAAGAAAATTTGATCAAATTTCTTGTCTATACTTAACCATTGGATAAGATATTTTTTTCTGATTTTTTTAAAAAGTTCTAGGGTTGAATTTTTTCAATAAATTTGGTTATCAATTTCTAATCAGTAATTTTTTATAAAAATAAATAATTTTAAGTTTTTATTGAATTAAAAATTTTATTTTAAAAATGTATTTATTTTATTTATTTATTTATTAAAAAAAAAATGAAGATACTTTTTTTTTATAATTATTAATTTATCAGAAAAAAATTTTATTTTTGATTTTTTAATTATAAATTTTTTTTTTTTCCAAAAATTAATGCTTTTATTTCTAATTAATAATTTGTCAGACCAATTGCCTAAAATTTTTCCTCTAAGGTAAAAGACCCAGTTATTAACACTAGCCTAGTTAATTGACACTTGCAATTTTATTTTAATTAAAAAAATAAAATGTTCTCAAAACACCAATTATCTTAAAATTTATAATTATTAATTTGTTAAAGTCAATTTGTTTTATTTAAATAAAATAAAACTGCAAGTGTCAATAACTGGGTCTTTTATCTTACTAATTTTTTAAAAAAATTATTTTTTTTTTTTTTACCAATTACTCATTTTTCAGTAAAGTCGATAATGTTTATTAAATAATTTTTTGCCCATAATTAAATGATAATAAATTTTCATAACAGTGCACCTGAAGAAGAAGTCGAAGAAGACAAACCTCGTACAGCTCCGGTATTTGTCAGCAAACCTGAACCAGTGGAAGTTGAAGAATCCGACTGGTCAAGATTCTGCTGCCGAGTTACTGGATACCCTAGACCACGGGTCATGTGGCTAATTAATGGTCACACTGCTGTCAATGTAAGTGAACCTTTTTTTAAAAACTAAATTTTAATCCAAAAAGCAAGATAAAATATTAAAGTAATAATTAAATTGCAGGGAAACCGCTACAAGCTGAGCTACGACGGAATGTATCACCTGGACATTCCAAAAACCCGTCAATACGACCACGGAAAGGTCGAGGTAGTCGCTAGAAGCTCATTAGGAGAAGCTAGATGCGAGACTACCCTGACAGTGAAGCCACGTAGCGACGACTACCGCGGTGTCTTGAAGAATTCACCCAGACGTGAGTATTTGAGTCCTTGGGGACGAGGTCGTTGGAACACCGAGAACTTGGTAGATCCTCCGCAGTTTTTTAAATTTAATTCCAAAAATAAACTATCAAATGTCCGTATAAAAGAGTTGGAAGAAAAGCGCGTTAAATTAGACCGCTATTACGCGGGCTTGTATTTCAATGCGGAGAATCTGTCAAGGAACAAAAGCTCGGTAGAACGTAGAAGCCATCTTACATGGGAACATCTAAATGAATACGCATACAAATTTAAAAAACCGATTCAGCAACATTCATCAACATCATTTAAATCAGTCAAAAATTATAAAATACAAAAGACATTTTCAATACGGCACATACATTGCATTCGACAGGAAAAATCAATTACATCATTATCAACATCTTATTTAAATTCACATCCAAATCCTTCTTATCACACTACTCCCTGTAAAATCCAAAAACCTGTAGTAGTCCCCGCAGCTTCTTCTCCCAGCGAAGCTTCTTCTACTTCTCTGGTCAACGAGTTTCCGGGTTGCAAAGGCAATTTTAAGCTAATTGAGAATAACAACGTACTTCGTTTCACCCATACCGCGAGGAATGAACTACTCCAGGTAATGAGTACAACCAAAATTGTTCGGTAAACGTATTGAGTATCGTCTTCTTAAAACCAAAAAAAAAATTCAATTTATCCCCTTAAATTTTTTTTTATTCATTCATTTATTTATTTATTTATACACTGTAAAAAAATCGAGAGTGAATTTTTACTGGTGTAACTCGGATTACACCACAATTAATTCTTATTTTGTTAAAACAAGTTTCAAATGCAAATTTTATAGTAAATACTTCAAAAAAATTTATTTTAAATTTAAGTTTGTAAATATTAATAATATTTTTTTTTTTAATTTGACGTTAGGAATATTTAAATAAATTTTAATTAAGATTAATTTTTTTTTCAAATCTTATTACTACGTTTAATTAAATAAAATTAATTACTTTGATGTTTTGGAATTAAACATTGCAATTTTTAATAAATAAATTGTGACAATTTAATCGAAAAATACTACTTTTAAAAATTAAAAAAAATCGAAGCAATTTTTTTTTAAATATTGAAATTTATTTTCCAGAGATTAAATCAATTAAAAATCATCCATTTTGTAAAACGCTCTCAAAAATTTTTACAGTGTATATTTCAGTGTTTGTAAAATTTATTGTTACAAATTATAATTATCATTCACGTCATCATTGTCATTGATTAATCATGTAAATTATTTCATTGTTAACTTTTTCGTTCATTTAAAAAAAAGAAAAAAATCGCTTGCTTATCATTGCAGGTGTGCAAATAATAGTCGAATTATTCGCACTTTTTAAAAAATTTCATCAATGTTAATTAATAACTCACCAGTTTATTGTACTAATTTTTTTTATCGTTCCTTAATCGTTTACCTTCCTGCATTATTGAAGAATTAAAGATTATGAAAAATCTATGTAATAAAAAAAAAAAAATGTTTGCGAATGACGTACTGTGTCGTATTAAATTTCCTACTGCATTAAAATATGTATATGTAAGATACTATATGTTGATAATAGTTTCATATCATGTCGAAATTGAGAATGTTGATGGGCATGTTATTGTTTCCTTTGTGATTTCTGTAATTATTGTGGCAAAATTTTTCATCATAATTCATTTTTTTCAATAGCTTGGTATGATATCGGGTTGAGTCAGTATCAGGCAGAACGTCAGGATACTGAATTGGAACGAGTCTTTGATGAGAGACACCACAACATGTCTCAGGGTGTTGGAATAGCAACTGAACATCATGGGCAGAAGATTTTCAAGGAACCGGACACTGAGTGGCAAAAGTCTATCAAGACTAAGAAAAATGAAGAGGGTTATTACAGCAAACTGATGGGTCTTGAAGAAGAACAGCTGCTTAAAGAAGCCAGGTTGAGAGAATCTAGTCATCAGTTTGCTATTCCTGGGGAAAAAATTGTCAGTAATTCGGTTGCCAAGGGAATGGCACAGAAGTATCAAGATAATTTGTAAGTAATTTAATTAAATTTTAATTATTTTTAAGAATAATTACAAATGATTAAATGTCTTTTGTGAACTATAAACAAATATAATCTTGCTTTATTACATAATGGTTTTTGTTAAATTGTATAGTATTTTCTTAACTATTGACCTTTTTAAAGATATAAGCTCATCCCGGTGTTACACTCATCAAGACCTTTCATTTGAGTACCCACATGCATTTTTGATATATTTTTCATATATACATATATTTAATATATATAAATATATAAAATATATGAAATATTGATGTGGGTACTCAAATGAAAGGTCTCGATGAGTGTAACATCAGGATGAGCTTATATCTTTAAAAATGTCAATAGTCCATAAAATATAAGGTCAGTTCTTAATTGTTGACATTTTTAAAGATATAAGCTCATTTCGATGTTATACTCATCAAGAGCTTTTATTTGAGTATCCACATGCATTTTTGATATATTTTTCATATATACATATATATATATATATAATATATATAAATATATAAAGTATATAAAATATATGAAAAATTGATGTAGGTACTCAAATGAAAGGTCTCGATGAGTGTAACATCGGGATGAGCTTATATAATTAAAAATATCAATAGTTCACAAGATACAAGGTCATTTCTTAATTATGTATTTAAAGATCAAGACCTTTGCAATGACAATAAAAAAAACCTTTGAGAAAAACGATTTATAATGATGATTAGTGATAAATATGTTAATATATTCAATTTTTAAAATTTTTCAGACAAACAAGCACCCAGGAGACGACAGTAGTTCAACCACCACCAGTCAGACAACTAAAGAAATTCACCACCGAAGTTGATATCGACTCTGAAAGAATAAAAGAAAGTGGAAAATATCCTCCCAGTCCAACTGAATCGGCAGTTCACGGCCGTGAAGTTCACATTGCGAAATCAAAACAAACCCAGAAAGAGGTGAAAGGCGACACGGAGATAACCAGAAAAATTACTGCGACTGAGACAACAGAAGTCGAGCACAAAGCTAAGACTCATGAGCGCGTAGTTCAAGGTCAAGTTAAACCAGCAGTACCACCTGTGTTTACCAAAAAGATTCAACCATGCAGAGCATTCGAGCAAGAGCAAGCCAAATTCGAAGTCGAGTTTGATGGAGATCCTCTGCCAACTATCAAGTGGTACCGCGAAGACTTCCCGATTCAAAATTCATCTGACCTTCAAATCTACACATTCAGTACCAAGTCAGTGCTGATTGTCCGCCAAGTGTTTATGGAGGACTCTGGAGTCTTCTCAGTAGTCGCTGAAAACCGTGGAGGCAAGGCCAAATGTAGCGCCAATTTAGTTGTTGAAGAAAGAAGACGTCAGCCTGGAAGAGGTGGAATTGTTCCACCTAGTTTCTTGACAACTATTCAAAGTAGTTCTGTGCCAACTGGACAACTTGCCAGATTTGATGCTAAAGTCAGCGGTACCAAGCCTCTTGATGTCTATTGGCTTAAGGTACGATCAATTTCAATAAATTTATCTTTTAATGCGTGCCTTAAGGACGTTTCTTGGCAAAAAAAAAAAAAAACACCAATAGGATATGGCTTAAGCACGAGCGCAAAAGGATACTTTATTGTTGTATAAAAATAAAAATTTTAATATTTTGTCACATTAAATTACACCTGATAATTATAATGTCCTTATAAATGATGCAATTTTTTTTTTTAAACGATTAACTTTTATTTTTACTTGAAAAAATAGTTTTAATGGCTTATAGTGTAGATTTTTCAAGTTATGGAGGGACAAACGCGATAACTTTTGAAAAAATCAATTTTTTAACTCAATTTATTTTTTAATCTCTTCATTTAACTTACGAAAAGTTGCGGATTGAAAATTGCAGCTTAATATTGTACTGTTTAATTATAATGAATTTTTTTCGGGTGGCAATTGGAGAAATTTACTTTTAATTTTATTTACAGAATGGCAAAAAAATAACTGCAGACATCAGGTACAAAACTCTAGAGGAAGATAACACCTACACGCTTTTAATTCTGGAAGCGGTTCCAGAAGACACTGGTAAATACGAGTGCGTAGCATTAAACAACGCTGGAGAAGCACGTTGCGAAGCTGACTGCATCGTTCATGGTGCTGAGTCGCCGTCATCGCTAAAGCCATCTAAACCATCCACCCCAGGAGTTGAAAAAGCACCGACTGTTCTTGAACCACTCAAAGATCAGACCATCAAAGAAGGCGCCGCTGTTGCGTTTGCGTGCAAGATCAATGGCAAGCCAATTCCTTCTGTACAATGGAAGAAAGGAGACAAGGTAATATAATAACTTGATTTTTTTATGGAATAATTTTTCAATGGAAGAAATAATAAATGTGTAATTTTTTTTAAAGATTATCAAGCCTTCAAAATACTTCCAAATGCAAAAAGAAGGTGACCGCTGTACTCTGAGGATTTCTGAAGCTTTCCCAGAAGATGAAGGTGTTTATAAATGCACTGCTAAGAATCCTGTCGGTGAAGTAACTACTTCAGCTAATCTTCGAGTATTAGGTAAGAATATTTTTCAAACATCTTTTTTATATAATAATAATTATTATTATTATCAATAAAAAATTAATAGATAAATTATATTAATCGTTCTTTTTTCTTTAAAAATTTAGCGCCTGATAGTACAGATGTGTTACCCAAATTAACACCTCTGAAGGATCAAATTGTTATGGAAGGACAGCCAGCTCAATTTAAAACACAAATTAGCCCACCAAAACTTAAACCAACTGTCCAATGGTACCGCGAGGGTGCATTGATACCACAATCTCCAGATTTTCAGGTAAATGAAACTTTTTTTTTGTGTTTTTATTTTATTACATAAATTTTGTGTTCTGAATAATTTTTTTTTGTCATTAATTTTGAAATTAATTGAAGCGCAAAGCTAAAAAATTTTTTTTTAATTTTTTAAGCAAAAAGAACGTAAAAAAAATAATAAACTTTTGGAAAAAAATTCTGACAGAACAATTTTTAAATTAAGATCAAAATAGTACTGAAGAATATAAAAATCATTAGAAAAAAAAAATTAATACGCTCTTTTGACCTTAGAATTTTTTTTTTAATTTTTAGATATAATATATTTGTTTAAAAAAACGATTAGCAAAAATAATTTCTTTTATGCTCATTTTTAACTTTTGGAATGCAATTTAATAAGAATTTTTTTTTAAATGCTCAATTTTGAAAAGAAATAATGTCAATATTTAAAGTGATAATTTATTAATTAAATAGTATATAATTAAATAATAAATGACAAATTAACTGATATTCAACTGTATTATTTGCAGATGATTCATGAAGGTAACAACGCAGTTCTTCTTATCGCAACAACATATGAGGAAGACTCTGGAGTTTTCACCTGTCGTGCAACAACATCCGCTGGTACCGTGGAAACCTCAGCTAAGCTCATCGTAAAAAGTAAGATGTAAAAACAAAAACAAATCCAAATTAATCGCTAACCCTAATGGTGTGATAACGAATGCTTTCTCTCCTTTTTCATACGAATATAATAAAAAAAAATAAATAAACAATCAAATTAAAAAAAATCAAAGAAAGGAAGAGAAAGAAATATTGAAGTAATCAATATTATATTTTTATTTCGGCGTCGTTGCTTAGTTTACTTAAAAATTATTTACAACTAGTCGTTTGACAATTAATTAGAGACACGTCGGGCAGTTTGCTTTTGTCTCTAAATTATTTATTTATTAACTAATATTTAATAACTAGTTATGAAGAAAAAAAAGTGGGTGGTCCAAGTTTAATAAATTTAAAATAAATATGGTGCTCATATATATTTATAAAAAAAAAAAAATACAATTGTTTTTTTTCAACTAGTTAAAATTCAAGGAAAAGATAATTATAAAAATAGCGAGACGTAAATTCTTAAGATCGAATTAATTTAAAATCTTGTTTCTTGTTTTTAACCACTTGAAAAAAAAATTTACGAAATGTTTAATAAAAAAATATATGAAGCTTGAAGAGAAAATAATCATAATATAAACACGTTGAGTTTATTAACTCATTTATTTATAGTCATAAAACCGAATAATATTTTAATTAATAATTATTAAATATTTATTATATTAATAAAAGATAAAAAAAAATGAATAATTAAATTCATGCATAAAACATCGGGTTTATAGATTTAGTAATAATGCGTTTTAATAATAATAATTAATAAACTAAAATATTTATTTCTGTACACAATGGAATTATCCAAATAAAAATATGCTTTGTGCAATAATAAAACAAACAAATTTATATAAATACACATAGACATCTTTTATATATAGATAATATATTTATAAATTAGTTTTTTCATAACTGGTGTCTCAGCAAATTGTTATACCGTAATACTCATTTACAACTGCATCGTTACATTGTCAACAAGTTGGCGTCAACCCAAGATATCTTCTCCAATATCAACATCAACAAAAACATTATTATTAATATATATATATATATATATATATATATA